TGGCCCCGACGACGCGGTGCGCTGATTTTTCAGCCACGTTAGGAACATCGTGCCTCGCAAGCCCTGAGCCTTGCCGCACACCCACTTGCTCCAACCTGCGGTGGTCACGGTGATACACTCGCGGTCTCCGATGACCTCGACGGCCGCGACCAGCTCGCGCCCCGTACGGTTGTCGTGCAACACGACGCAGTCGCGCTTGATCGTCGTCATCGCGCGCGCGGCGCGCCGAGGCTGCAGCCCGAGCGCGGTCGCACTTCAGCGCCAAATTGCTGCGATGGAGTGATGAGGCAACATGTGCGCGGACGAGGTGCTCATGATGAGGTGCGCTGCAGCGCATGTGAAAGATGAAGCGAAGAGCAACGATCACATCGAGCACAACAGTGATGACGAAGCCGCTGCAGCGGCATGTCTGTGGGAAAGGCTGATGTCAGCACCAATATTGTACAGTCGCTGCAGCGACGATGCTGGCGCAACGAATCGTTCCGCGCGCTGCAGCGCCGCGGCAAGTATCGCACTTCGCACCAACCCGCACACTGTTTACACCAATCGGAGGGCCACGCTCGGTGCCGTCATGTGCGCTCGCCGCTCCTTAAGCCCCCTCATCCTCCTCCCTCTGCCAAACCTTACCCTGCCTCCTCCTCCTCCTCCTCCGCATCACCCCTCCCTCCTGCCTCATCCTCCCGCGTGGTCCCTCTATATCGCCAGCTCAGGCCGTCCTGAGCTTCTTGGCTGGCCGCGGCTGCAGCCGCGGCCACGGCTTCACCACCAGGAAGTCGCCCGCGGACAGGGCGCAAGTGTTATGCATCTGGGGCACCCCCACCTGCACCTTGTTGACGCCTGTCCCGAACGTCACGGTCTCCTTTCGGAGCTCCATGTTGGGCTCTGAGTCGGACTTTGCCACCACCCAGAAGGGGCTGACAAAGGCGTCGGGGCCCCGCGACCCCTCAGCGGGGGGCCCTGCGAACTGCGGGCCCACGAAGAACTCGTAGAGGCCAACCTTCCCCAACGAGATGCTCTCCGCAACGCAGCCCGTGCTGACCCGCGTGGACGAGGCTGAAATGCGACCACTCCCACCGCGTGGAGCTACATGGCGCGCAGTCGGTAACATCACTGACCTCGTCGCTACGGCCTGACGTGCCCCGAAATCCTCGCTACCTCGTGCTCAGCGCAGCGCTGCAGCGCGGCGTCGTCGGAGGGGGGCGCGGACGATTGCGGAAGCACAAGTCTGACGAGCTCACCCACTTTGAACGCTCGCTTGCAGCGCACGGCAGGTGGGTCCTGCAGGATCTCCAAGTGCAAAATGTTCGCCTGGTACTTCAGCGCTTGGAGCCGCAGCGCCATGTTGCATGCCCCCTTGAACGCGTCCATCGCCCAACCCTCGTGGGCTGGCGGCAAGTGCTCCTTCGTGAACGGCAACTGCTCCTGCACCCTGGACGTCAACTTGTAATTCTCGAGCAATATGTTTACTTCAATCCGCCCGCTCGGCTAACTGCTCCGTGCGCTGCAGCGCATCGACCAACCCATTGCAACTTAAGTACAGGAAATACAATATCGCAGTTACTACCTCCTCCTCCCCCCTCCCTGCTCCCCACGGGCGGCGGGGTGGCTGCAGCCACGCAATGGAGATCTCTTCGCCCACCAGGTCGCCGTGCAACTTCTTCTGAGCGGTGATCCCATTCTCCGAGATGGAGAGCACCTCGAAGACGTCATCCACCTCCTTCTTCTGGACGATGTGCTTCCCCACGTCGAACCCTGCACGCCGCATGCGGAAGACGTTGCTCTTCAACTCAGCGGCCGACGACGCTGCCGCGCGCGGCGCGTCTGCATCGGCGCTCGCGGGGAATTCGGGTGCGCCATCGCCTTGCTTGTCGGTCTGCACCGCCTTGCCGAACTCGATCCCCAAGCTCTTCATCTGCAGCTGGGCTGGCTCCCCGAGCTCATGGAGGAAGACCTCTCTGGAGGGTCGCTGCAGCGACATTGAATGGCGAAAAGCAGGGAGGGAGGGAAACAAGGAGCACACGAAAGGTGGCGTGAGAAGATACCTGTGCTATATCTGCTACGCATCCGAAAGTGCGGTCTCCTGGCGCTCGCTTCTTCACCAGGTACATGGCACAGCGGACATCCAACTTTGTGATGTGCAAGAAGCCCTGCTCCGCTCCGATATCCAACCTCTTCACGAGCGACCTTGCGTCGGCCATGAGGTTGTCGGCCGCAGCCACGTCCGCCTTGCGGGACGCGACGTGGACGATCTCGTTTGCCTTGATCCGCCCATCGCTTCAGCGATTGCGTTTGGGAATAAAGCAATGTAACGGTGCGTGTGTGTGTGTGGGGAGGGGGGAGGGGTGGGTACGCAGTTCTAACAATGCAGCGCAATGCATAGATGCGCTGCAGCGCATGTCACTACAAGGGGGCGCCGACAAGCTTATGGATGGTCCTGCACATGCTATCCACCACGTGCTCGCCTGAATAGTTGGCCTTCACGAGCGCCGCTACGACATACGGGTACGACTCCTGGTGCTTCCCCCATTTAATCGAATTCAACTTGCGCCAGAATTCAGAGCCGCACATCAAAGTTTGCCCCGAGACGTCCACATTCGTGAAGGTCTTGAGGGCTTCATCTATTTCACGGAGAAGTTCTCCGTTTTGTGGCCCGAGCTCAACAAACTTGCACAAGTCAGCGATCCACGCCTTGCAAGGTGGGTTCGCGTGGCCCGCTTGCTCGGCGATGTCGCGCCAATCGGGCTTGCTGGAACCCTCAGCGAGGCTGTGTGCCAAGAGCATCCGCCCACCTGCCTGCAGCAAGCGCCGAGCCGATCAAGTGCTGCAGCACTGTAAGATATAATGCTCCTGCTCCTCGTTCTCACCTCCTCCCCAACGCGCTCCCACTCATCGCCCTCCTCGTGCATCATCCTGGTCCTTACTACATACCGCTATATATTATAGTGGGGATAGGCTGCAGCCTGACCGAATGATCTCGGTCTCGTGAACCGCCTCCCTGACGTCGGCGTTCAAAGCCCTCTGCACGAAGTTCTTGAGGCCCTTCACTTTGGCCACCGCGTGCTTGATGATCAACCACGTCAGGCCCTTTTTGACTGCCGTCGCAAGTTGCGGATGCAACGCGCACAGCTTTTCGGAGTCGATGTTGTCCCGAGAGTCTGCCAGCGCCTTCACTGTGGTCGGCGCCTTGGCCAGCACGCAGCGGAGGAAGACGTTCGTGCGGGAGCCGCCCACTGACGTATACCGCAATGAGTCCAGCGGGGGGCACCGACCCCCGCTGAGCCGCGAAAGGCGGTCGTTCGCCATCGCGGTCTCTTCCAACTGCGCCCCCTGCGGGGCCTCGAAGGCAGTGGCTGCAGCCGTCTTGGCCAAGACGAAGCCCTGGGCGCAAATCTTCGCGCCTAAATTGTGAGCCCGCGCAGGGTTCACTAACGAACCGCTGCGGTTCCGAATGTCGATGCCCATCTGGTTCGGTGGGACCTGCTGGTAATACGCTAGCCCCTCCGCCAGCAGGAACTCCTTCAGTTGATCCCACCCCGATGCCAACCTCCCCGAGGAATTGCTTTCCTCGATGTACTGCAAGATCTGCTCCTCCTGACGCGCCTGCAGCGCCATGCCAGCGCTATATATAGCGCCGAATGCAACGTGCGAGCCCGCGGGCGCGACGGCGGATGCGGCGCGCGGCCGCAGCTTGAGACAAGCTGTCGCGCGGCGTGCGCGTGAACATCGACTTGCATGGACATGCAACTTGCGAGCAAAAATGTTGATCTGGGCTGCAGCCCGAGGCCCATGAAGCACGAGCGCGCACGCGCTGCAGCGCGATGCGACATCACGACGACAACCATTTTTTTGCGCTGCAGCGCAAAGTAACATACGTGCTATCAAATTTGGAGCGCTGCAGCGCTCAATGCGACCATTGAAAAACAACGAATACAACAAAACATAATTGACATGTGCATTCAAATTCCTTGCAAACGGAGCTGGGCGAAAATGAAGATCCGAACAACGTGCAACTAGAAAACATGCATTTAACTCAACATTCAGCGCTGCAGCGCTTCATCTTCAGCGCACGCAGCGCTTCATGTTCATATAAATCCGAAGGCAGCGCTGCAGCGCTTCTCATATTTAAAGCAAAAATCCAGGACACCGATTCCAAATCAAAATGCAAAATTTGTAGCGCTGCAGCGCTCAACGAACAAACTCAGCTCTTTCAAGACGTGGATTTACCTTTTTTCCCTGTGCATGGCCCTTGGATACCAAGTGCAATGTAACCGCTAAGTCACTTATAACCTACTTAGCAAACTAGCTATAAGCGGTTATAAGTGGTCAGCTAAGTGCGCTAAGCACTTAGCTAACTGGTTATAAGTGGATAGCTAAGTACTTACTAAGTCATTACTAAGTGGGCCACTTAGTAATGACTGAGTAAGTACTTAGCTAAGTCCGCTAACTACTTACTAAGTACTTAACTTAGCGTAGTAAGTATGTTAAGTACTTAGCAACCGCCGCGGCCATCCAAGCATGGCGAGGTCGGAGAGGGCCGGGCAGGTGTTTTTTATCATCCTCGGCGTCCGGGGGCCGTCTCCGGGCCCGGGGGCACCGCCTTCGAGCCCCTGCGGAGTCTGCCCAGACATCCGGCGTCTCGGAAGAATCGAGGCGAAGGTCTTGGACTGGTCCTGGGGAAGTCGTCGAGGGGTCGAGCGCCCGCGTCTCGAAAAAGTCGATGCGCCAGATGTCTGGGTCTGTCCCCTCCGCCCCGTGGCCACCCCGAACTCCGGCGCCGCGATTCCAGAGGGTGCCGAGTTAAGACAAGGGCAGCTGGCCTTCGGGGAGAGCCCTCGTCGCCACGGCTGGACGCGTTCCAGTTTTGCGTTCTCAGGCGTGGCAACTAGAAGCTCACGGCTCACACGTTGCGGAATGCTGAAAAGCGCTGCGTAATTGCATGGGTCGGATGGATATTTGTATGATCAGATGTTGAAGTTTGAGCTTCGCAGCCCGGTGGCCGCATGGTGGCCTGCAGATTAGTAACCCTCGCTGGGTTGGGCCCTTTGTGCACATGGACCATTGCGTTCGTCTTCATCCGTCCTCCTGCTTCCTCCTCCGTTTCCTGCCACAGCAGCTTTTGGTCACATTGTTTTGGCGCGAGCGGCAGTTCTCGCAGTCACAACCCAGGAGTTTCTCTTGCCACAGTCATGGCTCTCCACGATGACGCCGAGCACGACGGGCTCATCGACGAGAGTCCACCGCGCTCCCGCAGTGGCCGTGGCCGCCGTTTTGCTGCCGCCGCGGCGACGACGGTCGTGCTGCTGCTGCTGCTTGCAGCCACGGTGATGCCTCTGCGCGCGGCCTGGACACCGCACGGTGCCGCGGCGCGCGGTTCGGAACCAGGTGTCCGCCATGGAGCTGCACGTTTTTCTGGGCCCAGTGGCCTCGTGAGCAAACAAGAAGAGGACGGAGACGCCGAAGCAGACGCCGAAGCAGACGCCGACAACACGGAGTCCACCATCGAGCAGGTGGCCGCAATCCCGCAGACCGTCTATGTCCTGGACTGTCCCGCGTCCGACGACGACACCACTTCCATGACCCTGGTCCGTACGATGGGTGGCCTGATCGCGGCGTTCAAGCTGAACGGCAAGAGCATCATCCTCGAAGAGCCGAGCCCTGAATCTGGAATGCAGGGGTCCACCTTCTGGCCAAGCCCGCAGAGCCTGTTCGACTGGCCTCCGCCCCCGACCATCAGTGGCGGCACTCGGAGGAGGAAAAGGTATCCACACCGCTACCCTTCCCTCGTGTTCGCCTTTTCCCTAGGAAGAGCGTTCTCTTTTAGAGGTTTTTTCTCTGACCTCGACGGCTGTAGGGCTAGCGAATTTGATTTGCGATAGAAAACGAGGTCGAGTAATCAGGGCCTGCGAAATAAAAGATTGCGGATGTTCCTAGCAAAACGCTTGTTTTGCATAATGTGTTGAGGATGTCTCGAGCGAAACGTTTGTTTTGTGTTATAGATCGCTCCTGTCCTGGGGACGAGAATTCAGAGGATGTCTCAGGTGAATTGCTTGTTTTCACGTGCCCAGGTCTTGAGATGTCTAGAGCGAAACGCTTGTTTTGCAGAACTCGAGCGGCCTGGGCGCCCCAGGATGCCCAGGTGGTTATGGGAACCCGAACACAAAGTAAGTTACAAAGGAATGGCCCTGAGCGCGGACGCCGCGTAATTCACGAGGGAGCGCAGCTTTGGGAGCGTGGACGCAGCGTAGTTGACAACAGATCGTGGCGCAGGAAGAGCGGACGCAGCGTAATTTACAAGGGATCGTGACCCTGGGAGCTCGGACGCAGTATAATTTACACTGGATCGTGGCCCTGGGAGCGCGGACACAGCGGCATTTACAAGCGATCGTGGCCTCGGGGGGGCGGACACCGTAATTCACTAGGGAACGTGGCCCTGAGAGTGCGGACGCAGCGTATTTCACGAGGTTCACGAGGGAGCGCGGCCTTGGGAGCGCGGACGCAGCGTAGTTTACGAGGCCCGCGGAGAGCGGACGCAGCGTAATTTACAATGGATCGTGGCCCTGGGAGCTCGGACGCAGCGTAATGTAGCGTCCCATGGTACGTCCCCTGGTACGTCGCATGGCGCGTCCCTTGGGACGTTCCGCGGTGCGTCCCCCCTGCATGTCCCCTTGTCAATTAGCTCTGGGGCAGCTACTATGTGCTCAGGCAGCTCGAGCTTAAGACCCAGATCAGTTCGGTCAGGACTCGGATGCACAGGGGGACTCGATCCACAACGCTACCTATACGACCACCCTTCCGGTGATAAGGAGGTTCGGGGGGGGAACCAACGTCTCACTCGATCGGTCTCACTATCGATCTCACTATCGATCTCACTATCGCTCTCGCTCGATCGATCTCACTCGATCGATCTGACTATCGATCTCACAATCGATCTCACTATCGATCTCACTATCGATCTCGCAGTCGGTCTCACATTCGGTCTCACTATCAACATCACTATCGATATCACAATCGATCTCACAATCCTCGTCATCATCAATATCATCGTCATGAACGTCATCATCATCATCAACATCATCATCATCACCATCATCGGGACACCATCATCATCACCTCATCACCATCATCATCAACATCATCACCATCACCATCATCATCATCATCGCGACACCATCATCGTCACCATCATCATCATCAACATCCTCATCATCGGGGCACCATCATCATCATCATCGTCAGCATCGGAACACCACCGTCGTCATCATCATCTCATCATCATCATGAAAACCATCAGCATCATCATCATCGGGACACCATCATCATCAGCAACATCATCATCATCATCATCAAATTCAGCATCATAATCGGGACACCATCATCATCGTCACCATCATCACCACCATCATCATCATCGGGACACCATCATCAACATCAGTATCATCATCGGGCCACCATCATCAAACTCACCAGCATCACCTCATCATCATCCTCATCAACATCATCATCATCGGGACACCGTGATCGTCATCATCATCAACATCTTCATCGGGACACTACCATCATTCTCATCACCATCATCATCATGAACAGCATCATCATCAACATCACCACCATCATCAGGACACCACCATCATCATCAGCACCATCATCATTTCATCATCTCATCTCATCATCATCATCGACATCATCAGGGTCATCAACACCATCATCATCGGGACACCATCATCATCATTAGCAACATCAGCATCATCAACATCATCATCATCGGGACACCACCACCACCACAATGGCCATCATCATCACAATCATCATCATCGTCAACATCGCCAACATCATCATCATCATCATCTGGACACCATCATCACCACCATCACCATCATCATCAACATCATCAGCATCATCGACATCATCATCATTATCCTCATCATCACCATCATCATCATTATCATCATCATCACGATCATCATCATCATCATCATCATCATCATCATCATCATCATCATCATCATCATCATCATCATCATCATCATCATCATCATCATCATCATCATCGGGACGTCGACGGGATACCAGCCGGACACCGGCGGGACACCGCGGGCCACCGGCCCCCAGAGAGGAAACATTTGGTCCGGCCGCCCCTCAGCCGGAGGCGGGACACCGGCGGGACACCGCGGGCCACTGGCCCCCGGAAAGGAAACATTTGGTTTGGCCGCGCCTCAGCCGGAGGCGGGACACCGGCGGGACACCGCGGGCCACCGGCCACCGGAAAGGAAACATTTGGTTCGGCCGCGGCTCAGCCAGAGGAGACTTTCTTCTCGCCCGCCCACGCAGTTTCGCCTCGCCCGCACGCACGGCACGCACGAACACGAAACCGAAACCGATTTCCCGGTAGGGGGGCTCTCCGTTCCATTTCGATCTCACCCCCTCACCTCCGATAGAGCACAATCGCGGCATGGCACATCGTAATTCAGCACCGTGCAGCGCAGTACAGACCTTGGTACGGTACATCAAGATCGATACATTCAGCATTGCAACTTGGCACGTTTCTTGGCACGTTCCGTGCCGCGTCCCGTGGCAAGTCCCACTGGCACGTCGCGCGGCGCGTCCCCTGGCACGTCCCGTGGCACATCCATTGGCACGTTCCGTAGCGCGTCGCCTTGGCACGTCTCGCTGTGCGTCCCCATGGCACGTCCCCTGGCACGTCGCCTGGCACGTCCCTTGGGACGTCCCGCGACGCATTCTCCTGGCATGTTCCCCTGTCAATTAGCTCTGGGGCAGGCAGCTACTATGTGCTCAGGCAGCTCGAGCTTAAGATCCAGATCAGTTCGGTCAGGTCTCGGCTGCACAGGAGGACTCGATCCACAGCTCTATAGAGCACAATCGCGGCATGGCACATCGCGATTCAGCACGGCGCCGCGAAGCACAGATCTTGGCAGGGTACATCAAAATCGATACACTCAGCATTGCAACCTGGCACGTTCCGTGGCGCGTCCCGTGGCTAGTCCCCCTGGCACGTCGCGCGGCGCGTCCCCTGGCACGTCCCGTGGCACGTCAATTGGCACGATCCGTAGCGCGTCGCCTTGACACGTCCCGCGGTGCGTCCCCATGGCACGTCCCCTGGCACGTCGCCTGGCACGTCCCTTGGGACGTCCCGCGACGCATTCTCCTGGCATGTTCCCCTGTCAATTAGCTCTAGGGCAGGCAGCTACTACGTGCTCAGGCAGCTCGAGCTTAAGATCCAGATCAGTTCGGTCAGGACTCGGATGCAAAGGAGGACTCGATCCACAACGCTATAGATTACAATCGCGGCATGGCACATCGCAATTCAGCACGGCGCAGCGAAGCACAGATCTTGGCAGGGTACATCAAGATCGATACTCAGCATTGCATTTGCTGGTCACCCAATCAGGTGTGTTTCAGAACGTTGCCACGCCTTACATTTCTGTATTCCTTTCCGGGGTCGTGGGTCGAACATATTTGGGCTTCCTGGGAGGCCCTCGTCGCCACCGCTGGATTCGCCTCGAAATCCTGGTCAGAACGCACCCCGAGAGAGGTCTGGGGGGGTGCGGTATGGGTACTTTTTTGGTTTCCCCAGGCACAGAGGCTGACGGCGAGACCGGCCGATCTGCTGAGGGCGGCGGCACTTACGACGTGCAAGTGGACGACGCCAAGCTGTCGGTGGTCCTCACCAGCCAGCCAGACCCCGACCTCGGAGTGAGGGTGGTGAAAAACGTCTCGTGCGACACGGAGCGGCAAGCCATGGTTGTCCGTTACACGATGGAGAAAGTGGATACAGCCACAAATTTAAGCTTGGCTGGGTGGGAGAAGACCAATTTGCCAGCAGGTGCGCTCATCTTCTGGGACCATGGTGATGCTGAGACGGTCACCCGCATTGACGACATGTCGAACAAGACGTCTCAGACCTTGGATGTGGATGGCGACACTTTTTATTTCGACCACTCGAACGATGACGTTCACGAGGGTGGTACCAAGATAGCTTCCAACACAACTTCCTCTTGGATCGCGGCTGTGAGGGACGATATTATGTTTGTCAAGGTATTCAAGTCGGTCCCACTGGACAAAGTGGCCCCTGGCGAGGGTGACGTTGCTGTCTTCGCGAGGCCTTCGTTTTCCTCGATCGAGAACCAGGGCGCCTACGGGGCGGTCAAGAAGGGAAAGCCTTCAGTGTACGTCGTGTGCTGGTACGCGCGCAAGCTCCCCGATGGGGCCCAGGCGGCGAAAGGTGACGAGACGATGCTGGATGCAGTCCGTGAGGTGGCGAAGCTGGGCTGCCCAGAGAAGTGATCATCGGTTCTCGGCGAAGTCCGAACCCTGCCCCCGCCTCCCAAAGATTCACGAGGATCGATGGTTGGTGGGGGTACACCTTAGGCGATGCTTAAGAAAACTTAAATTTTCGGCCAGAGTCTCGATTATTCTTAATGTTTCAATGTAAATCCGAAGATTTAAATGGAATTTTCTGGTTTTTATTCAAGTTCTGAGACTATGAATTTCTTAACCCATGATTTCTTAAGCATTTCGCAAGGTGTAGGGTTCTGATGTCTCCACCCAATCGAGCAGCGCCCTCGTGACAATTTTGCACAAGGTTCGAGCAAAGAACGTTGAACATGAGCTTTCTGAGGTCCGAGCGGATTTCTTGGATCGGCGCAGGACACCCCTGTCGGCGCCGTGGGCACCGCGCTTGGCGCGCCCTGCGCGCCACGGCAATAGGCGCGGACCTCCGGAAGCATGTTTTTACAGCCTTGTTAGTCTTCTAGGCTGGAGGGGGAGCCCGGAGCAAGTGCAGCAAGTTGAGGTTGGCCCGGCATCTTTGAGAGGGCCAGCCCAGACCAGCCCGAAGCGGATCAGATGGTGCGCGTGTTTAGATATCGGGCACTTGCTTGAGTGGTTAGTGTTCCTCGCGGGGGCGATGCCCGCACGTTTCAATCAGGTTGCCAGAGACCCTGCGCCAGCAAGCCGTGCCTCCCGTTTTGAATCTACGCATCGAGAGAAAGAGTGATCGTGCGCCTGTGTTGAGCCCGCAGAGTTGAAGCCACGGCGTTTTGGAATGACGAAGCAGCTGCGGTTCGCCGGATGGCCTCGAAGCGCCCGTGCGATGGGTTGGTGGCGTGTCGACGCGGTGGCGACCCACCGGCGTGGGCGCTCAAGGTTGAGCTCCGCCAGTGGCCCAGAATCGGCTGGTATCGAGCGATCTTGCGCGATCGGCGGGCGGCGATCGTTCCAGGCTAGACGATCTCGAGTGAGAAGCCGGCATAAACATAAACTTTCAGTGGCCCGCGCAGATCTCTTGGATCGGCGCTGGGCCCGCCAATGAGGGTCCAGCGCCGACCCAAGAGATCCGTGCGGAGTTCCGAGAGTTCCTGGTTTGGTTATGCAGGTTGGTGTTGGAAACTAACGGCGAGCAGATCGGCCTGACCTGAGGCCCTTGGGGGCTCTCCTGGGGCATTGCTGGGCGTTCTGGGAGCCTCGCCCAGGTACGAGCTAAGGTCTTCGGCTGCGCCTGGAAGTCACCTCTCACGATCAGCCGCTGCCGACACACTGTCCGGAGCGTCCCAGTCGAAGCAGGAGAGGCAATTTTGAGAAGCAATCAAGTGCGTTGCTCCTGGTGTGATATCGCTACCATACAAAAATATGTGTTTTCATGGTGGGCGCAGCTCTGCGATATCGCTAGCAAAACAACAAACTAATACTTCCGCGGAAAACGAGACGCGAGCAGTAGTAGGCAGCAGTTTCATACATATGTTTAGTAATAGTGATGGTAGTCATGACCTTGATTGCTCGATTAGTTGTTGCTGTCGTAGTAGTAGTCGTGGCTACGTCCCTTCCAGCGTAAACACGAACACCATACAATGCATATGCCATGACGTCGTCAAATGCTTGACATCAGACAAACTGGCGAACAGCAGCGCAGGAGCACCCAAATCCACTTTTCTCGATAGTGGATACAGTTTGCCTACGGTAGTTACGTGTAGCACAGGTTTGGTGGGGCAACTTAATACACATGCGACGGTTTCTTTGCGATCTTCTTCGAGCCAGGTGATCACTGAGACCACTGCGTAGAGGTCCTGCCCCCCCCCCCCCCCGCGCTGACCCTCAAGGACTCCGCTCCCGCGGAGCTGCGCGCCTCGTCTCGCTCCGCTTCCGCCCGCGCCTTCCGCCTCCTCAGCCGCGTTTCCTCCCTGTGTCGTCCTCGCCTCCTTCTTGGCATCGCTCGGACGTGTGCATGTTTCCCTCGGCGAGGACCATCGAGGAGCATCCTCGATCACTTGGCGAAAAAAAAAACACGCGCGAGACCGAACAAAAAGCACAGGGAATGGACGTCCGAGCGATGGCGAGCCTTCCGCCTCGGCAGAAGTCGACATCAGCATCGGCCGTCGGAGAGGCCCGCGCGAAGTTGCTCAGAGATCAGCGCTGGACCCCCCGTCCCTGGCGCCGCCGGGGGGCCCGTCGCCGACCCCAGACATCCGCGCGGGCCTCCGACTGCTGATGGCTGTTGCCACGAGGGAAAATAACACACAGACACAAGGAATCGTCGATTCCCCAGAAGATATGGGAAACTATGGGAGGTGGGGGGGAAGACAGAACCCCAGAACATATGGGAAAATATTGTGAATCTTTTGATGTGTGTGTGTGTGTGTTTATTTGTGTGTCCAAGGGCCCCTTCAGTTGTTCCCTCCCATCCCCTTTTCATGCTCCTCGTTGTCGTCGCCCCCCTCCTTTTGGACCTTGATGTGAACATGCATCCTCCTTGTTCGGGGGTGGACAGACCTCCTACCCTGACACATCGATTGAGGAATTGACCGTTTTCGGTTCGCGAGAGTGCGTCGCGGCCGTCGTTTTTGCGGGCCCAGGTCCGTCGGTTTCGGTCCCAGGCCGTTTTCTCTAAGGGGAGGTTTACTAAAGGGAGGTTTGTCCACCGCCGATTGAATCTTGATATGAACATGCATCCTCTTTGTGACTCCCTTTCAATCCGCATCCTAATTCAAAGGCTGCCGCCTCTGCCGCCGACCCCGAAGGAGTGTTTGGAGTTTGGCTTTCCAGTGGCTCCGTGCTCAAAGCGCTCTGGCTCCTTACAGGTCTCCTTGGTCGGGGGGTCAGGAGGACGAGGACGAGCACGTTCTCGAGGATTGGAGGCGGGTCAGGAGGACGAGGACGAACACGTTCGAGGACGAGGACGAGGACCACGACGACCAGGACGACGACGACGAGGAGAACGGGGACAAGATAGAAGGGGAGGAGGAGGGGGGCGGACTCGAAAACATCCTGGGGGGAAGGGTCCTGACCGTTGGGGATGTGTTTTAGATGTGTGTGTGTGTGTATCGGAGGTTGGGGGGTGAGTCCGACGTGAAACGGAGACCCCCCCACCGGGAAATCGACTTCGGTTTCGGGTTCGTGCCGTGCGTGCCGTGCGTGCGTGCGGGCGGCGAGGCGAGGCGTGCGAGAGGACATCCTCCTGTGGCTGGGCCGCGGCCGGACCAAATGTAACCCCTCCGGCGGCCGGTGGCGCGCGGTGTCCCACCGGTGTCCCGCGGGTGTCCCGAAATCCTCCCGTGGCTGGGCCGAGGCCGGACCGAATGATTCTCCTCCGGCGGCCGGTGGCGCGCGGTGTCCCACCGGTGTCCCGCGGGTGTCCCGAAATCCTCCTGTGGCTGAGCCGCGGTCGGACCAACGAATGCTCCTCCCGTCAAACGGTGGCCCCCGGTGTCCCGCCGGTGTCCCGCCGTGGGTTGGGCATTTCGAAACATCGCCGCTTGCGGCGAGCTGTCCAATGCAAGTCTGCATGCAAACCGACATGCAGACCGAAAAGCACATCGAGATGCAAATCGATTTCCACATCCGAATGCAAATCGTAAGGCGCCATGTGCGCCGCGGCGAGCTTTCCAATGCACGTGCACAATCACACTACTCACTAGACTCCGCCCCACAGGCATCTTCAGAACAACAATCACCACTTTGCTCATTGCTGCCCCCCAAAACCTCCTTATCACCCGCAGGGTGGTAGTATAATTAGATGTGTATGTGTATATATATATATAAACACTTCGGTCAAGATCTTGTCCTTCAGTGCCGTCCTCGTCGACGTGGCGACCATCGATATCTGGCGACCCTTTTTACTGTACTGTAGTACTGGTCTTGGGTTCTTTTATCGGGCGATGGGGGGGGTCTTCTGTGGGGTTGATTTCTGTTTGGTGGAGCGTTTTCGGAGTCTGTTCGGGGTCTCGTGGAGGCTTCGGCGGTGCGCACCGGGGGAGCCTGCGCAAGTTCAAGCCTTCTGTGCGCTGGGTTTGGCAGCCTTCAGCGTGTCGGTGTCGGGCGTGGCCAGCGCAGTGCCTCAGAGGGGGCGATTGCGCTCCTCAGAGATCCTCAAGAGGGACGCAGGAGGTCGCCAAGAGGGCAGAGAACGAGTCCAATTGTTTTTCTTCAAGAGGGACGCAGGAGGTCGCCAAGAGGGCAGAACACGAGTCCAAGTGTTAAGAGAGCACCGAGGCGGCCCGCGACCCGATGGCGAGGGCGTCGGCGGGGGGGCCTGGGGCGGGGGCGGGTCTGAGCGCGAGGAACTGCAGGGTGGGGGGCCCCAAGCACTGCAGCTCCCGACAGCGAGGGCGTCGGCGGGGGCGGGGGCGGATCCAGGCGCGAGGCACTGCAGGGCGGCGAGTCCAGGAACGCAGCTCCGGAGGGGTCTGGGGTTCAGTCGGGCCTGTCCCCCTCTACACGCGGAAGATTCAAAAGTAGTCAAACAATAGCCTGGGGACTATTTTGAAAGTATTTTTTTGCAATTTTGGAGCATTTGGGGGGTATGTTTTGTTTTTCGTCGAAAATCCCCCTTTCGCAATTTTGACATATTTTTTCGCAATTTTGGAGCATTTCGGTGGTATTTTTTATTGCGCTGGCCTTACTGCCTGTGCCGCCGACCCTGGAGGCATCGGCTCTCGAGGGAAACGGGGGGGAGAGGGCGGGGAGGAGGAGGAGGAGACGGAGGAGTGAAGGAGGAGGAACAGGTGGGAGGATGAGCAAGAGGAGCATGAAGATGCGGAGGAGAAATGGAAAAGGTAGAGAAGGGGGAGCAGGAGTTAATGGATGGAGCAGGCAGGGACGACGAACACGTGGGGGGGGACCAGTGAAAGCTGTCCGAGAGGGGTGAAGAAACATGCACGGATGATGCGGGAGGAGGTTTTCGGGAGCAGCTCTCGTTTCAGGGGGCTACAACAATGGGGGCAGACAGTTCATGACATTTGTGAGTGCCTGGGGTCGCAGGAGGTGCGGCGGCGGATGTACGTGCGGTGGGGTATCCAGGGAAGGTCAGAGCTGGGAGCCATCGGCGCAGAAATGGGGGCAGCGCTGCAGCGGGAGCAACATTTTGAAGGACCCAAAAAAGAATCGGAATGTGAAAAACACATATGAACACCGAACTCGTCGGAATTCCCTCGCCCCCCAGCCTCCCTGTTTCCCTCCAGCTTGTCCCTGCTGCCCTTCTCCTCCCCTCCTCCAGAAGCCCCTTGAGGAGAAAAAGATGACCCAGGACCCCCCTCGCTACCCCCCTCGCTACCCCGCCTCGCTACCCCCTCCCGGGACCCCCCCCCCTCGCGCGGGAGAGGGAAGAAAGGGAAGGGGCTTCCCTTTGATTCAGAGGCGACATTGCGAATCCGGGAGGGCGATGTATCTGACCGAGAATCCCCAGGAGGGCGGCGTATCTGACCCAGGACCCCGCTCGCTACCCCCCCCTCGCTACCCCCCCCCCCGGGACCCCCCCCCCCCGCGCGGGGAAGGGAAGAAAGGGAAGGGGCTTCCCTCTGACCGAGGATCCCCAGGACGGGCGGCGTATCTGACCCAGGACCCCCCTCGCTACCCCC